AACAAATTACATTTCCCTGGTGCTCTTGCACACTGGAATCTAGTTCTCTCCATATTGTTAGGGTATCAATAAGCCCCATAAATTGAACTGGTCCAGACTATAAAAAAAAAAGTTTAGTCTATCTGTTGGAGGACCTACTTTTCCAGTCTTGCTAGTCAATCACCTGGTGATAGAACCACTCCCAGGAAGGCAGGGTCAAGTTAAGTTATGCTGAATAGATTGGCAGAATACTTGCTGTGTTAACAAGGTAACAAATATTTCTGCCTGGAGCTAGCTCAGATCCCCACAGAACTTCCAGACCAGACACAGTCATGTAGGTCTCTGTAAGTCTGTCTGCTTTCCTGAACTCTTCAGGAAAGCACAATATCTCCTTTTCTTCTTCATGCCTTTCTTACTAAACATGCTTTCTTTAAGGCTTTGGGCTGTCCCTAGCATCTTGTATTTCTTCACTTTTTCTCTAAAGCTTCCTTTTCCCAGCCATGTGACTGTGAGTGAGCCACGTTTCTGCCCTCCATGCAGGCTCTAAACCTGCATGGCTTCCATGGCTTTCTTTCCTTTTTCCCACTATTCACCTCCTCAAGGTAGCTGCCAAGATTACCAGCTCACCTGCCCTGAGGATTTTTCTTTAAGATTCTAATAAAATTGTAAAAGCTTCCGTTTGGGTCCATTCTTAAATTATTTTATGAATGAGACTAAGAACCCTCTAGGGGACCCTCTTTCTCTCCATTTCAATATGAGTAGAAATGAATTATCATCTATATACCAAAGCAGTTAAGAAACCACATAGAAATTTTTAAGTCTTAGATTGTTCACACGATGGAGGAATCCCAAAATGGAATGGTCTAATCTTCATGAATTACAAAAGGGATGGTGAGTACCCACTAACCAGGAACACATGTATCAGACTGTTAAGATTATTACATTTTTATTACATGAAAAACTATTGAAAGTTAGAATTTATTTTTAATAAGAAAAAATACTGTAATATATTCTACTGTACAGTGACACATGTATTACAGAAACATTTTTGTAACATGGAAGTTGAACGATCTTTGTTTCTAAGGGGTGTGATTTTATCTAAAAATTCAAAGTAGTAGAAAAGCTTCCTATACAATGTCTCATTACATTAATTTTGCTTGTTTTCTAGCTGCAAAAAATGCTAGTTACACGTACATGGGGGCCTTCTTCGAAGAGTAGGTTTTGTGATAGCAGAGATACAAAATAAATACTCATTGTACAAAAAAGGTACAATCTGTAAGAAGATACTGTTTGTTTATAAATGAACGCACTCATTTGCCAGACATCCCGGATAATCATAGACTTTCATTTCCTGCTGGGCTCTAAAAAAATTATGTTTTCACACACAAACTCTTAATTGAGACAATGACAATGCAATATGAAAAGGAAGAAATAATTTTGACCAAATCCTCTCTCAGAAGATAATCAAGAATTGATTATTTCTGAGGTATAAAAGACACAATAATACTAACTTGGGTAAAAAAATCATTGGGGAAATATTCTATTTTAATTTTATTCAATTTGAAACATTACATACTCAGTAAACAAATTGAACTTGAGGGCATTTTGAAAGTTCTATGTAATTCAGAGGAAATGATAACTATAATGTGTCTCCATAATTTCTCTAAATTGAAAAACCATTTACAGTAGTTTAAGACTTGGGGAAATCAGAGAGGCAGTTGCAAATTGGAAATGCTACTGCCATTTCTCTGCTGCTCCTCTCTGTACATCACCGTATCTTCAGATGCCATGTCTTTAGTCTAACCCTTTATCCAACAACCCACAAAAGCCAGGAAGCATGCACAATGCAAAGGTTACTTTAACTGCTTGTTCATGCCCATTTGGGGAACTGTGGATTCAGGAGGCATTAATGGACACCTGGGATTTATGATAAAGGAAGAATCCACTTGAAGAGCTTAAGAGACAATTCATTTGTATCTAAGTTATATCCTATAATTTTGAGGGGGAAATTATGAAATGTCAGAAAATGATGACAAATAGGCATACACACACACACATACACACACACACACCAAGGAAGTACTCTCCTGTTTTAACTGTTTAAGAAGTAAATCTTTGTCTCTCTCTGACTCAGTGTGAGTGTGTATTATTGAAATTTGTTGAAATGTTTACTGTGAATTAGCATGTAGAAATGCCATTTCAAATATAATTTGTCAAAAGTTGACAAAACACCCTGCCTGCATATACAATTCATGTGCTTTAAAGGGCCTGTATGGTAATGGGAACAAAATTTGCTGTTCTTTGTTTACCTGTTTGTAAAGAAAGAGGAACCTAAGACACAGGAGGTATTGGAAGGAACTAGAATTATTTATAGTTTCTTAGTAAAGTTCTAAATTATGGAAAATTAAACAGTAGCCTGGAAACATGCATATGTAAATTTATCAGTGAGCCCATGTTATCAGAAATGTGAACTATGATTTTCTCCAGGGAAAGACGTTCCCCCTCTGACAGTACAATTCCTGTGCATGGCCTATCTTCACTGCCAACAGAGAATTTCCTGGAAACATTCTAATCTTTGGAGACCATTACAAGTATGCAGGAATTCTTAAAATGGTGAATATGCATTTGCTTTCTGCCTTTCCTTTTCCATTTTACCTTTCTCTTACCCTTCCTTCCTCCTTCCCTCCCTTCCTTTGCTGATTTTTTTTTCTTTTTTTAGGAAAGCAAGTCTTTGGTTTCATATGTGAATACAATATCCATTCACTAGAGTTTCTGTCAGCTACATTTACAGAAGAATACATACATAGGAAGGGTTCATAATGACAAAGCATCAAAAAATGGTTTGCCATTTACCTCAACAAATTTTCTGCACTTGTATTCTGTTTTGGATAACTTTAATGCTGATTTAAACTAATGGTATACTCCTAATTTCAAGGCATTATAGATGAAGAGATGGGCAGTTTTCATTGACTAATCTTAATCTTCTTTCCTTTCCATTCCTGGAACACTTTTCAGTTGTAGATACAGAGATACTTCTAAGATATTTGTAAAGGAGGGGTTGGAGAGATGGCTCAGTAGTAAAGAGCACTGACTGGTCTTTCAAAGAACTGGGGTTCAAATCCCAGCACCCACATGGCAAGGAATAACTGTCTGTAACTCCAGTTCCAGAGGGTCCGATGCCCTCTCCTGACCTCCACAGGCATTGAACACTTAATTAAAACAGCAAATCTGCCTGTAATCACAAATGTGGCAATGCAGTAGTGATATTACCTATGAAAGGTTTATATATAAATGTTTAAAACACACTGAAACTATCTCATTAAAGTAGACAAGCAACAATTTCTTTTCAATTTCTGGAATTTTACATAGCTACATAAAGTACCCTGTACCCTGACATGGTGTTTTTCTCAATCTGTGTGAAATTTTTCATCATTCAAATTTGAAAGTCATAAAAATCTCTATTTCTGTTCATATTATCTCAAAAGAGTAACAAGTTTTGCAAGAAAATAAAATCACCTTATTAGCATTTTAATGAAGACACATAGGTGATTTCAGATTTTCATTGATGTTTGCTCTTTCTTTGTCTTTTATATCATCTCTCTATTCATGATAAACACAGACACAATAAGGAAGCCAATGGCATCTTTAGTGCTTATTTAAATTTTCTTCTCTTATTTCTTGATAAGGAAAGTAATTTTAATTCAGCAATCGTTTTCCATATCAAGAGGTTCTATAATTAAGAGTATGTTCTTTAAAAATGACATTTATGCCTTTAATCCCAGCACTCAAGGTGCAGAGGCAGGAGGATAGCTGTGAGACTGAGGCTAGCCAGGTCTACGTAACAAGTTCCAGGACAGCTGAGGCTACAGGCAGATCCTCTCTCAAAAGGATCAAAAATTTTTGAGATTCTATATTATATCACATACAAGGCCACAGACTCTGGATATTTTTCTTATGTGAAGTGATCCTACTATCATCACTTTAATATTTTTCTGCTTAGAAGCAAATGCTTTTGCAAGGTACAGTCACATCCATTTCAATGTTGTTATCTGTTTTCTATGCCTCATTGGAAATCTACCCAGAAACCACACAGGGAAATAATCAATTTATAGACAAATTATTAGAAATATTTACTTCCATTCTATTAATATGAGAGAAAATTCAAGAGTTAATGTCACTAATTCAATGAAGAAATCTATATGACTATTTAAATTGATAACATGTATTTGATGCTGATTGTGCTAAAAATGACTATATCTAGTTAAAATTGTATTAATAATGATTTCATTTAAACTATGATTTTTGATAACATTTGACTAATTCAAGAAAATCCTATTCTTTTTTACTGAGCTTTTAAAATTTCATACATTTCCCACTGATGTCCAGAACCCCCTCCCCCATCCATGCCTCTATGCACTCTGCCATACATGCTGAGTCCTATTCATTCAGGTGTTTGTATCCAAATGTCGTTCAGTGTAAAAGCATCTACTGGAGTCTAGTCAGACTGTCTAGTGGTCATATGTAAGTCATACTCTCCCTCACCCAGCAGCAAGGGCCCAAAGTGGAGATGAGAAATAGGTGGCAGGTCAGCACTAGGTCGAGAACTATTTGAGACTGAAAATTCTATTTTTAATCACTATTATTTCAAATCCATGCTAGTTGCTGAAAATATGGTTAAGGTGAATGGCTTACTGTGGACATCAGGAAGAACTCATACTGATGGAGTTTACAGAGCACAATTTAACTTTTAACACATATGTGAGGAACGAGGAGGTCGGGTAAAGTTCAGTTAACATAGCAGCTCTTGAAATATGCAGACAGAATGCTAAATAGGACAATCACTACATGCACCAGAAAACTGAAAGATATTTCCAAAAAGAATTTATAGTCCAAAAGTAATGCTGCTGTTGTTTTATCTCAATGTATTCATTTGATTTACATCTTTTAGGGATTGAAACTTAGTGTGAAATAACAGTTCTGTTTCCTAAATGGCAGTTTATGAACATTTACTTAAATCTTACCAGAGCAATACACTGCACTTCAACAGTGTCTACAGGAGGCCCAGGAGAGCTATGGATCTCAAGATGATACCAGATTTTCAAAGCTTTAACTTTTTCATCTGAAAAGCAAAACATAAAACTAATGCATCAAAAACAAATGAGCACTTCCTAACATAGTCTTAAGAATTCTTTACAAAGGTGAGATTCATGAATAGACAACACTTTAATCATTTCTTTCTTTCTTTTGTATGAGGTAGGGTATCCCATGCTGGCCTTGATCTCACAATGCATCAGAATCATTAATGCTAGGATTACAGGTGTGCACCAGTATTACTTCAAACTACCTTTTAAAATACTTTATTTATCTTATTATTTTACCTTATGTGTTTGGGGGGGATAATATAAGTATGTGTATCACATGGCATACAGGTCCATGGAGAGGCAGGAAGGGCTTCAGATCCCTTGGAATGGGAGTTGCAGGTAGTTGGGAGCTGCCTGATGTGGGTACTAAGAATCGAACATCGTTTTTCTGCAAGAGTGGCAACTGCTGTTAACCACTGAGCTATCTCTCCAGTCCCTCACAATCATTTCTAATAGACTTAACAGGAAAGCTGAGGAGCGCATCATCAGCTGCTTTCACCACAGTGGTGAGCAATAAGAGAAATTCCATCTCACATGGCCATGCAAATATTCTGCTATGTTTCCTGGTTTTATGCCTGCCCCAGTAGCTCGGTATTTTACTTTTCAGTCAAGCTTTCATTCTCTGAAGGAAAAATAATATTTTACTCTAACTTCTAAAACAGCCATATATTTATATAAATAAATTTGTAAGTAATGCACTACAATGCACAATTGCTTATTTCCATTAAAATAAGGATTTAGATTAAGGTGAGAAAGCTGAGGTTCAGGTTTCTTAGAAGTATGAAAAAAAAATCTACCTATTTAAGTCAAAGAAAGCCAGAAAGAGGGTCAAGGTAAGTAGTGAGGCAATGATGTTTATACTACAATTCCTGATGTCTAAAACCATGAAGTCAAAGTGGAATCCTGATCTATTAAAAAGTCTCTTCACAGGGAGGTTTTGTAATTATAAGAAATTAATTTTCCTTATGTCCAATTGTTTCCACCTGTATTATCTTCTCTTTTTGTTATTTTGTTTTCCAGTATCAGCACATTGTATGCATATCCACATTAATATTGTCATGTTTAAAATTTGTAAAGATTATTCCAGATTAATTTTTTTTATGTTTTATGTATATAAGTATATCGCTTGCATGTATGTAAGTGCACTGGTGTTGTGCAATGCCTGTGAATAAGAGAAGAGGGCTTCAGTCCCCTAGAACTAGCATTTCAGATGATTGTTAGTCTCCACATGGGTTCTGGGATCTGATCCAACGTCTTCTGGAATAGCAGTCATTGCTCTTAACCACGGAGCCATCTCTTCAGGCCCCAAAAGTTATGTTTTACAATATAGAAAGGATATAGAAAGAAAAATATCATTAGGACTGTTTGATATGAGAAAGTTTTCTGTCACCTATGTTGAAATAAGAAATGCATATTACAGTTTTAAAATGACATATCTGTCAGTATTTAGTCAGAAACTTGCTATGTTTCTTGTTAAATAACAGGAAAATATAGAACAACACAAATGCAAGCCCTTCATGATGACATATAATGTCTTGATTTTAACAGCAGCAGAATTCAGAAAGTAACATACAAAGCAGTAGTTATTAAATGATACAATTTTCTGACAGACATATATGACACAGTTGGGATACATATTATGCATTTGAAATGTCTATTTAATTTATAAGTGGAAGATGATCAGGAGTTCTGCAGTACCACAATGAAAATCTGTCCAATGATAAATTCACCTGAATATTCCTCAGAAATAATGGTAGATATATCTGATGATGTGTCTTGAGAGGAGGTATCTGTTTCCTGATCTTCTTTATCCTGAGGATCTTTCTCATTTTTACATTTAACAGAAAATGTAATTGCACCTATAAAACATACGTACAGGATATCAGATAAACCAGGGGAAGTTTGAAGTGAAGGTTATTCGGAAATATTACAGTTTCTATGTCAAACAAATTCTAAATGGCAATATGAGAGTTAGATGTGATACTCTAATTGAAGAATGTAATGGAAAAATTTTCACATCAATTCTAAATTAAATAGGTGCTTTCCAACAGACTTCCTGCAACTAGCAAGAAAAAAATGAAATAATCTATCTGCATTAGCTTTCAGTAATTTAGTAATCCTGGATGATTGTTTCAAATAATTTTTCATAAGATATGTGTAAAACTCCCATTACTGCCTCATTTAAAATATTTGTTTTATATAACTTCATAATATTCCAAGCATAACCTTTTCCATAACTGTCTAATAATTTTCATTTATTTTGTCATAAAAGTTTCAGTGTCAAAAGTTGTCATTGTCTAGAATTTTTGTTGCATTAAAACACACTCATTCAAAATTGATAACAATTTTGAAATAGAGGCTAATATATTTATTCAGAAACGGGCTTCCACCTTTCAATATCCTTTTAACAGAAACAAAGTTTGCATGTAAACCATGTGTTCTCTTAGCTATACGTCATAACCAAATAGTTTAGATTGGTGCCTACAAATACTATGTAATTGAATTCATACATAAACCATGTGTTCTTACCTATGTATTATAATCAAATAATTTAGATTGGTGCCTACAAATACTATGTAACTGAATTCACAGCGTAACACAAGAAGTATTTAGTACTATTCTATTACATATAAAGACAAACACAACTGAAATAAAACATTAAAGTTTTCTTAGATTTTAGTTGTCAATGAAAACTCTTTCCAAAAAATAGTTCATGAAGCTATTATGAATTATTGGAATGCGGACCACTTGAAGAGAGGTTTTGAAATGAGCCAGTCTTGTAATAAAATAAAATAAAATGATAATAGGTGTACACAAGCAATTAGTCAGTGGTACAAAGAAGGTACTCAGTCAATGATATTGCTATTCTTATCATTCCTTTTATGAAGGATGGTCCCCCAAAGCATGATAACATCGGACACAATTCTCTTGCTTTTAAATAAGTCAAGTAAACTCAAAATGAAACTAGGTTTCGTGTAAAGCCATCTTAAAATTTTATGATAATATAATTTAAAGCCTGTAACTGGTTTCACATTATTTAAATGCAAATGTGAAAGAATGGCTTCTGAAAGATTTTTAAAAGTAGTTTCTGATTCTTTCTAGAAGAAACACAAATCTCAACTATATCAGGAAGGGAATTACTTCTTGATATTTTATAAAGCAATACTTAAAATTATTTTTATAAAATACATCCCACCCACTGTGTCTTAACTCCCACAACTTCTTCCACCCTCCCAGCTCCTTCACCCCTATCTCTCCTCCTAGTTTGACATTGACTCATTTCTTCTCTTGGCATCCCATACCTCTGGACTAATCTCTTGGCCCAGATTCCCCACTGCTTCCTGATCCTTTGACCCAGACCAACCCAAATTCCTGAGTCTAGTCCTCTGAAGCCCTCAAAGCCTGTCCTCTCCCCCAACTCACCTTTGTACACCTGAGACCAGCCTTCATACCTGGCTGTCCCACCCCAACCTACCTGGGATTCCTGAGGCCACTGTCTTTCCCAGATAAGTTTGACCCATCCCAGAGGGCACTGAGTTCCACAACTTCATTCAGTCCCCCAGCTCCCACATCCTTACTTGCCTCCTGGTGTGGGCACTTGGCACCCCAGATTTCTGGACTACCCTCTTCGCTCGGACTCCCGACTGCTTCCTGATCTTTTGCACCCAGACCAACCCAATTTCTTAGTCTAGTTCCCCAGAGCCCTCAAAGCCTGGAGGCCTCAAAGCCTTCCCCGTTCCCTACCTTGCCTTTGCACACTTGAGACCAGACTTCATCCCTAGCTGTCCCACCCCTCAACCTGCCTGGGATTCCTGAGGCCACCATCCTTCCCAATTGGCCCTGGATTCCTGAGACCTGCCTCCTTCTCTCACTGCCTGAGAGTCCTGAGTCCTACCTCTAACTAGCAAGCCTCCCAAATTGTTCTGTGCCTGATGACCAGAGGCATCCAGACCTTAGGAGAAATCCTGAGATCATCTAATCCTCATCTGACTTGGGCTTCTGTGGGAACTCTTGAGCAGCCAGATTAAAGCCATCTGACCTCTCCAATATAAAATCGAATGAAAGAACCTGAAACCTAGACCAATCAGCTTTCTATGCTTAACAAGCAAACTACAAAGGCACAGAAAGTGTACAAACAGAAGTAGACATAACCTCAATGAATGAAGGGTTAAGTCTCATACAAGAATCAGAAACTACAAAAGAAACCCACTTGTCAAAGTCACAGTGAAAAAATACTAACATGAAAAATGGAAATAATATATCCCCACCAAGTACCAACAGTCCTGTAGAGGACTACAGTGAGAACCCCCTAGAGATAACACAGGACATGGAATTCAAAAGAGCAATTAAAAACATGATAAAAGAATTCAATGAATTTAAAGAACACACAAAGATGAAATCAAAGAACTGAAAGAAGATAGGAACAAACTTCTGAATGAATTCAGAAGAGTTAGAAATATTGAGGAATACTCACGTTGAAATGAAGAAGGAAGTTAAACACTCAATAGGCCAATTAGAAATTACAAGAGAAAGCCTTGTCAATAGAATGAACGAAATGGAAAACAGGACATCAAACCTGGAAGACAGAGCTGACAAATTAGACTACTCAAGCAAAGATTATGAAAAAAATTAAGAAAATGTAGGAATGGAATATGCAGGAATCATGTGACACCATAAAAAGACCAAACGCACACATCATAGGCATAGAGAAAGGAGAAGAATCTCAGGATAACGGTATGGACCAGATCTTCAGTAGTACTGTAGAAGAAAATTTCCCAAAATTAAAGAAAGACATGCCCATACAAACACAAGAAGCACATAGAACACCAAAGAGACAGGACCAGAAAAGAAACTGTCCACAGCACATCATAGTTAAAATGCTAAATGTATAGAACAAAGAGACAATACTGAAAGCTGAAAAAGAACAAGTCACATACAAAGGAAAACCCATCAGAATTATAGCTGACTTTCCAGGGCAAACTATGAAATCCAGAAGAGCCTGGAAAAAAGTATTCCCAGTTCTAAATCACCACAGATTTCAAACCACATTACTTTACCCAGCCAAAATGTCTGTTATAGAAAAAGGGGAAAGAAAAATTTTCCATTATATAAATAGGCTGAAAGAATTCATGTTCACACAACCAGCCATTCAGAGAGTTCTTGAAGCAATACAAAAAGCTGAAGAAAGGAACAAATATACCCAAGGGATAACAGAAAGAAATTTAATGAAGGTATAACCGTGGCAGACCACAGTTGCTTCAAGAATGTAAAAAGAAATCAAAACGAGAGGATCAATACATATCTTTCATTAATAAATTTAAATATCAATGGACATAACTCCCCAGTCAAAAGTCACCGACTATTTGAATGGATTAAGAAATGAAGCCCATCCTTTTATTGTGTGCAAGAAACCCATCTCACTTTCAAGGACAGTCACTATCTTAAGGTGAAAGGGTGGGAAAAAAAATTCCAAGCTAATGATAATAAGTAAAAAGCAGGAGTTGCAATTCTAATATATGACAAAATAGACTTCAAATTAAAACTAATCAGAAGAGACGAAGGGGGCCACTTCATTCTGATCAAATGAACATTGGCAAGAAGATAATACAATCATGAACATATATTCACCACATTCTGGTGCACCCAACTTCATAAAACAACACTACAGGACTTTAACACCAAGATTAACCCTAAATCTTTAATAGTAGGGGACTTCAGTATTCCATTGTCTCCATTAGATGGTTCAACAGGCCACAGAATTAACAGAGAGACATCTGAGTTAAACAATACTATACACCAAATGGGCCTAACAGACATCTACCGAATATTCCATCCAAGAACCAAAGAACATACTTTATATTCAGTGCCCATAGAACTTTCTCCAAAATTGACCACATACTGGGGCAAAATACAGGCCTCACCAAATACAAAAAGATGGAAATAATTCCATGCATTCTATCAGACCACAATGCAATAAAACTTAAAATGAACACTGGAAGAAACCCTACTAACTGCAGGAAAATATGGAGCTTAAACAACACACTACTGAATAATGAATTGGTCAAAGGAGAAATTAAGAAAGAAATAAAATTATTCCTGGAACTAAATGAAAAGGGCAATAGAACACAACAAAACCTCTGGGATACATTGAAAGCAGTCCTTAAAGGAAAGTTTATAGCTCTAAGTGCCTACATTAAAAAATCAGAAAGAACACAAATAAATGGCTTAACATTGCAACTCAAGACACTTGAAAAGCAACAACAAATGAAACCCAAACACAGCAGACAAGAAGAAATAACAAAAATCAGAGCAGAAATTAATTAAATGGAAACAAAGAAAACAATACAAAGAACCAATGAATCCAAGAGCTGGTTCTTTGAAAAGATAAACAAGATTGACAGACCACTAACCCAGTTAAGTAAAAGAAAGAAAGAGCACCTCCAAATCAACAAAATCAGACATGAAAGGGGAAACATCACAACAGATACCATAAAGATCCAAAATATTATAAGGGAATACTTTAGAAACCTGTTCGCTACTAAACTTGAAAACCTAAAAGAAATGGATGGGAATCTCAAATCATGGGAGTCACTAAAACTTAAGCAAGAAGAGATCAACAGCTTAAACAGACCCATTTCACATAAAGAAATTGAAACAGTAACACCAAACCTCCCGACTGAAAAAAGCCCAGGGCCAGATAGATTCACAGCAGAATTCTAGCACACATTTAAAGAAGATCTATATCCAATACTAGTTTATTTATTCAAAAAGAATCAGAAGGAGTATTTGCAGATTCCTTCTGTGAAGCCAACATCTCTCTAATACCAAAACCAGATAAAGATACAACAAAAAAGAAAGT